GGTTTAGACGGTGGTGAGACAGGTTAGTTTTCCCCTGCTGATGACGCGTTGCCATGGTAATCCTGCTCCGTATGAGAGGAACCGCAGGTTCAGACATCTGGGATGGGCTTGGCGGAGGAGCCAATAGGGAGAAGCTGCTGCCATCTGTGAGACTGTGAATGAATGCCTCTAAGTCAGAATCCCGCCCAGGCGGACGGATAGGGCAGCGCCGGGGGCTTCGGATAGCCGTCCCGCCCTCCCTGTGGGTACCGTGTCCAACCACCTTGCGGCCTGCGCGTCAGGACCCGGTCCGGTGCAGAGAGCCTTCCTCTTGGGAAAGGGGTTGCGGCCGGAAAGGGGGCCGCCCCCAGCCCTTAACGCAACACACGTTGGAACCATTTGTAGATGACCTGCTTAGGGGTCTGGGTTTCACACATAGCAGAGCAGCTCCCTCGCTGAGATCTATTGAAAGTCAGCCCTCCGCCTCGCTTCCTTGGGGGGCGGAGGGGGGCGGCCTGGTGTCGGAGGGAAGGGAAGGAAAGGAAGGAGGAGGGAAACGCGCATGCGGAGCCGGCATCAGCGCCCGTTTGCGGGCCTGGCCCGGCGACCCTCACCTCCTCTCCGCAAACCCCGCCGGATTGGGACGGGAAAGCGGGGGTAGATGGCGGGCACGTGTCCCCCTTTCCCAGGGTGGGTCGAGGGCCGGCTTCCTCTTTCTTTTCCACGAAAATCCCAGTCGACCAGCACTCCCCGAAAAGGGAGGCCGCGAGGATTTTGTCTCTGCGAGGGAGGCGGGGGTGGACCAGATGTCCCGCCCGGACTTGGTCTGGGCTATGCTTCACTGTGATTGGGTTGACCAGATGTCCGTGCAGATGAGATGAGTGTAAACAAGGGGCTTGGGGCGGGGGTTCTGGCAGGAGCGGAGCCAGATGAGATGAGCGGTTTAAAGACTGGGAGGGGAACCACAGAGAAAATAAATGCTGCATTTTTTTTTTTTTATTTAAACAAAAAGCCTTAAGTAAAAAAAAAAATTTTAAATATATTTTATTGATTTTGTACAGAGAGGAAGAGAGAGGGATAGAGAGTTAGGAACATCGATGAGAGTGTCATCGATCAGCTGCCTCTTGCACACCCCCTACTGGGGATGTGCCCACAACCAAGGTACATGCCCTTGACCGGAATCGAACCTGGGACCTTTCAGTCCCCAAGCCAACGCTCTATCCATTGAGCCAAACCGGTTTTGGCAAATAAAAATTTTATCAAACCTAACCTAGTAATATTTAGAAAGGATAACTCTGAACATGTTGCATTTATCATAGACGGCAAGACAGTTTAACAAAAATGAATCAATGAAATTCTCACCTTAACAGATTAAAGTTATAAATTATTTCACCTCAATGACAATAGAAAAAATATTTTTTTTTGTGGTTTATTTTTTTTATTTTATTGATTTTTTTTGCCCCCCTCCCTCCCTCCCTCCCACACATCCCGTCCCTCCCCAGAGTTTTGTGTCCATTGGTTGTACTTATATGCATGTATAAAAGTCCTTCGGTTGATCTATTATCTCCCCCAGATCTTCCTCCCCTCCCCGCTGTAATTTGACAGTCTACTTGTTGATATACTGTCCAATAGAAAAAATTTTTAGAAAACTCAACATTGATTCATAATAAAAACTCTTAGCAAAGTTGGAATAAAAGAGAAGTTTCCCAATGTAGTGAAGAGTCATTAAAAAAAAAAAAAAAACAACCTTAAGCAAAGTATCATATGCTTAGTAGTGAATCTCTGAATACTTTATCTTTGATATCAATAAATATGCCTACAATTCAAGATAATACTACAGATTCTAACCAGTATAATAAGGCAAGAAAAAAAAATAAAAGAAACAAGGACTAGAAAAAGAAGAAACAAAACTTATTAATCTCAGATGATTGTGCAAGTTGAAAAATTTTTAATCTTCAAATAAATTAGTAAAATGAGAAATTTTAGCAAGATTGCTAGGCATAAGGTTCAATATATAAAAATAATTATACTTTTTATTATTTATTTGCTTGTTTATTTATTAATCCTCACCCAAGGATATTTTTTCCACTGATTTTCAGATAGAGTAGAAGGAGGGAGGGATGGTGTGGGGGAGAGAGGCAGAGAAAAACATCAATGTGAAACAGACACATTGATTGGTTGCCTCCTACAGGAGCACTGAGTGCCCTGATTGGGGCCAGGGATCAAACTGGCAACCCGGGTACAGGCCCTTGGTGCCCGGGCTGACACACTAACCACTGAGAGACACTGGCCAGGGCAAATATAATTATACTTTTAAATGCCAGCTGCTGATAATTAGAAAATTAAATGCTTTTTGTAAAGATAGCCTTTATTATTAATAGCTTCCAAAAACATGAAGTACTTAGAAATAAATCTAACAAAAATATGCAAGATTTTGTCAGGAAAATATAAAACTTAACTCATATACCCTGAAAAATGAATGAGGAGATAGTCCATGATCCCAGATTGCATCAATATTTCAAGATAAATCAATTTAAGAGTAATTATCTATTTAAAAATTCAGTGCCACCAACAATCAAATCCCTGAAGGCAAGGATTCCTTAAACAGGAAAGAAACACTAACCATAAAAGAAACTTATTGAAGAATTGCACTACATTAAATTTAAAAACACACTATTAAGAATATTAAAAAGGCTAGACACAGGGTGGGGAAAAAAACTATATGCAACACAACCAACAAAAGATTTGAGACCGGGATATACAGAAAATTAAAAAAAAAAAAAAAAAAAAAAAAAAAAAAAAAAAAAAAGATATGCAACACAACCAACCAAAGAATCAAAACCAGAATATACTGAGAATTCCTAAAATCAGTAAGAAAAAGACAACTAAATTATAATTTGAAAACTTGAACAAGCATGAACAAAATAGGAAATCCAAACAACCAATAACCATTGCTAGCTTCATTAGTAATCAGGGAAATACTAATTAAAACTAACACCAGAAACCCAACCATTAAAAAAAAAAAAAAAAAAAAAAAAAAAACTTTAAAGGTCAATATGAAGTGCTGCTGTGTGGAACAAAGACACTCACATACACTATATATGACAGTTTGACATTCTCTGGTAAAGTTGAAGATCTATATACTGTACAATTCCCCAAATCTACTCCCATGCATATATCCCATACAAATGCATGTGCCAGGATACCTATAGCTTTTGATGCTGATTGGCAAAGAAAACAACTAATCAGAACCAAACTGGCCAGCAGAGGAGGACAGTTGGGGTTGAGATCAGGCCAGCAGGGGAGAGCAGTCAGGGGGCGATCAGGCAGGCAGAGGCAGTTAGGGGCAACCAGGCTGGCAGGCAGAAGCAGTCAGGGGTGATCAGGCAAGGTAGGCAAGTGAGCAGTTAGGAGCCAGTGGTTCCAGATTGAGAGAGAAATGTCCCCAGTTGGAGACGGTGCAGGCTGGGCTGAAGGAACCCCCCTCTCTGTGCATGAATTTTGTGTACCAGGCCTCTAGTGTTTGTGTGTGTGTCTCTCTCTCTCTCTCTCTCTCTCTCTCTCTCTCTCTCTCTCTCTCTCTCTCTCTCTGCAAATAGACTAAACAGAACAACCAGTTGCTATATAACGTGCACTTTCCACACCAGGGGGCGTGCACAGAACATGGCGGGTGTTGGCTGCAGCAGAATGGTGGGGCAGGTGAGTGGGGGCGCCAGACCAAGGCAGGGTGCTGGTTGCTATAATTGGGGCAAGCCTCTGGTGGTTAATGAAAATTCTTGGCTCCTACGCACTGTGGTGCTGCCCAGTGCTCACACCTATTGCCGGTGCCAGTCCCACTCGTAGGCGCTGCTGGCTTCCAGCGCTGTCCCCAATCACTCAGCGCCGTCAGCTGTCGGGAGCAGTGACTGTCTGCCCCAATCGTTCCTGAACACAAATTTCTTGTATACAATCTCTAAAAATAGGCAAAATTAAACTACTGAATATATTATTTAGGGAAGCATATCTTTGTGGGGAGGAAGAAGGTTGTGATAAGAAAGGTGTACAAAGAAAGTTTCCAAGGAGTCAGCAATGTTATACTTTTGACAGTACCATTGGTAACATGGGAATTTTCTCTACAACTATTTATTAAAATGTACTATTCAAGTTTTAGCATTTTTTTTTTGCATACGTTATATTCTACAATAAAATATTTGGTTAAAATCTTTTTTTAAATTACTATGCTTAATGGTTTTAAAAATTGCTTAATTTTTAGAGGTGGAAGAGGTGGAGAAAAAGTGAATAGTGCCATAACACTTGAACCAAAGGATTTGTGCTCTTACCTGTTTCACACTTCTTATTCCCAGGCACCGCGACAAGTTGGAAGTGTAGGCTGTGTCCTTCTCAGACATTGGACCTGCCTCAGCCTAGATTGTACTCCTGCTTCTTTTCTGTTGACACCACCCTTGATTCCATGCTAGCTGAAGAAATGTATCCCAAGCCTGTTCCATATCCCTAAGGACCAAGCTTGATCTGAAACGGTTTACTGGTTTCATGTGGTAGATCTTAAACACCAACTTTCCATCTCTGGGAAGGCAGGATGGTATTTGCAAAGAATATGAACTTGGAAAACCCATCCCTTTCACTGACTAGCTGTGCATGCAGGAAAGGTGGACCTTACCTTGCACTTTGGTCCACTCATTTATAAAAGTATCACAACCCTTCACAAAATTAAAATACCAATGGCATAGAGCTGTTACTGTTTTTCTTCTAATCTGATCCCAACTCTGTTTATTATTAACCCTTTGCACTCCGCTGTCCCCTCTCAGGAGACATCGGAATTCTAGCATATCACTTGGATCTCCCCTCTCAGGGGACATTGCAGTTTATTAGTGATTACGGGGAATTGGGTTAATTCAACGCACCCGCCGCAAAGTAGCGTCGTCGAGTAGCTGGTAGCCAATGTCCAGAATGGTTTGGAGTGCAAAGGGTTAAAAGTTTAATATCTTTAAGATGCCCACCTTATTTTTCTTATTCCTTTTTAGGCAGTTTTATACAACGATAGATCTGTTCTGGAGAATCATCATGCTGCATCAGCTTGGAGCCTGTATCTGTCTCGCCCAGAATACAACTTCCTTCTTAATCTTGATCATGTGGAATTCAAGCGCTTTCGCTTTTTGGTCATTGAAGCAATCCTTGCCACAGACCTTAAGAAGCATTTTGATTTCCTTGCTGAATTCAACGCCAAGGTTTGTTATGTAATTTATGCCTGGTATCAAAAATGGAAACCACTGTTATCAGTGTTACTAAATAAAAGTATCCTATACTAGAGGCCTGGTGCACGAAAATCATGCATGGGGAGGCGAGTATTCCTCAGCTTGGTTTGCACCCTCTTGCAATCTGGGACCACTGGCTCCTAACTACTTGCTGGCCTACCTGCCCTAATCTAACTGCCTGGCTGATTGCCATTAACTGCTCTCCCCTTCCAACCTGATCCCTCTAACTGCTCTCCCCTGCCAGCCTGATCCCCCCCTAACTGCTCTCCCCTGACAGCCTGATCCCCCTAACAGTTCTCCCCTGCCAGTCTGATCACCTGTAACTGCTCTGCCTTGGCACCACCACCATTGCTTTGTCCAGACGGATGTCAGAAAGCTCACCCAGAAGATATCCAGTCTAATTAGTATCCTATCTAATAAAGAGGGAATTTGCTAATTGACCCTTATACGTCTCAAAGAATGCAGCATTCACAGCCAATAAGGAGATAATATGATAATTGACTGTCACACCCTCAAAGATGGCGGTGCCCACAGTCACAAGATGATGGCACCCAGTCCCCTCAGATCCCAACCACCCAGGGCCAGCTGGAGGTGCAAGCAAGCCTTGGATGGTGGCTGCTCAGCTGCCCAGGGCCACCTGAGACTCAGATAACCAGGGCCAGATGAGACTTGCACTGTCAGCAGTGGCAGCAGCAGAGGTATCATAGGGTGTCACCTTCCCCTGATGGCTGGTTTGCCTCCCGCCCCTGAGGACTGTGAGAGAGATGAGGCTGGGCTGAGTGATCCCCCCTGTTCCCACCAATGCATGAATTTTCGTGCACTGTGCCTCTAGTATATAATAAAAGGGTAATATGCAAATAGACTGAACAGCAGAACCAAACAACCAATCAAAGCATAATATGTTAATGATATGCTAAGGCTGCTCAACCGCTCGCTATGATGTGCACTGACCATCAGGGGGCAAACAGTGGATGGGTTGATCAGTTACTATGATGTTCACTGACCACCAGAAGGTAGATGCTCCGACCGACCCGTAGGTTAGCTTGCTGCTGGGGTCTGGCTGATTGGGACATAGTGAGATGGTCCCTCCCTGGCCTGGTCACGCACCAGTAGTGTCCCTCAGCCTGACCTTGCAATCCGGGACCCCTTGGGGGATGTCAGAGAGCCGGTTTTGACCCAATTCCACAGGCCACTCCCCTTGGGAAGGTGCCGGACACAGGGCTCATGGCTGGTGAGCGCTGCTGTGGCAGCGCCACCCTCTCCTGATGGGAACTAATTGGACACAAGCCCGTGGCAGGCACAGTGTGGCCGGGATGAGCAAGAGCATGCAGGTAGTGCAGCAGCGTTGGACTCCAGGTTTTGGCCCGATCCCTGTAGGCCACCCATAGGGACACTACCCATGCACAACTTTGTACACCAGGCCTCTAGTTATATAATATTGTTAGAATTAATACTGTTTATGAATTCATGATAAATATCTACTGTAAGATATTACATATTCCAATATTTTAAATCAATATCTTTATTATAACATATTCTAAAATACTATTGCTTGCTGCCATTTCCTCTCCAAAAAAGACTTGTAACTTTCACATGGTGACAAATCAATTATGTTCAAAGTTTTTAGCGGCAGATTTAAGAAAGTTGTGCACTGTGCCAAGGAAGACCTTTTATGAAATTAAAGATGTACTTCAAGGAAGCCCATTATGTCTACTGCACCATACCTATTACACCTTCTTTATATTAGTGCTTGGCTGGTGTGGGAGAGAAGTACTCTCCACTCTTCCACTTGAGAATATGCACTCACTGTGCTAAAGAATAAAGAGCAAGGAAGAAGAAAAAAAATAAGGAGTGAACACTATCCTAGGATAATGGTATTCATTAGCGTGTTCTGTGCCTCAGACATTTGGAGTGAAAAAGTGTTGAAAACCACTGCTTTTGACTCCTGAAGGAAGGATGCTCCTTCTTTTGCTGGCAGGAATCTATTGTTTTCTTCTCATTTTAAAAAATCTTCATCTAAGGATATGCTTGATTTTAAAGAGACAGACAGACATCATGGGTTGCCTGTTGTATGCACCCCTCCTCCCCATTGACCTGGGATAGAATCCGAAACCCAGGTATGAGCCATGACTGGGGACTGAACCCACAATTTTACTGGGTAAGGGATGATGATCCAACCAACTGTACCACAATGGCCAGGGCTGGAATCTGTTTTTTGTTTTGTTTTGTTTTGTTTTTTAAATGAGTTTCTGACATAAAGGAAGGTGTCCTTTCATGGTAGAGGAACTGGTAACAAAAAAGTACTAGATTTAACCCCCTGGACAAGACTATCCTCTAGATCAGTGTTTCCCAAGCTTTTGACATATGTGTACCCCTTCTATAATTTTTGTAACGCTGAGTACCCCTCGTACTCATGAGAACATAGAATTAGGCGCAGCTAAGCATGATGCAGTGCATATCCCCACCAAACTCCGGTGCAACACATACACCCACCAAACTCTTCCGTACCCCTGCGGGTACGCGTACCACACTTTGGGAAACACTGCTCTAGATGAAGAAACACTCCAAGAGATTCAATGATGTTTTCAGTATCACACAATAAATTAGCACGTCATTCTGAGTCAGGATTTTAAACCATAGAGCTCAGCTTCTAAGACTTGTGTTCTTTAAACCATATCACATTTGTCTTTCACAGCTAGAGCCAACTTCTCCTTAGATCCTGAAGTATTTTCTTTTTTTGAGGTACAAAGTTACAATTATACATGATTTCTGATGTTTTGCATACATATACTTATATATTATATTGCATATTAATAATAGACACACACACACACACAAAAAATTATAATCCTCTGTGGTAATCACCAAATATGAAAACCTATGGTTTGTTATGTTTTTATAGAATCTGCTTCTATTGAAACAAAATTATAATATTTCAAATTCAAGAGAAACTTAACCATAGAGGTCCATATTATGGCACAAATAGATTAAAAGAAGCATTTATAGAAATTCCTGCCTGTCATTGGATTAAGAAAATTTTAAGGTAATTTGGTAGAAACAACAAAACTCCTGTGCCCTCAGAACCTAAAATAATTCTGTTTTTCCAAAACAGGCCAATGATGTAAATAGTAATGGTATAGAATGGAGTAATGAAAATGACCGCCTCTTAGTGTGCCAGGTGTGCATCAAACTGGCAGACATCAATGGCCCAGCAAAGATTCGGAACCTGCATTTGAAATGGACAGAAGGCATTGTCAATGAATTTTATGAGCAGGTGGGTTGAAATGTGAGATTGGTAGGATTTCTAATAGCTGCCATCTGAAGACACTGCCCTTTGGGATTTGGAAAGCTACAGTCAGTGTTTGAAATCTGAATTGCTTTGACTAAGAATGGTTAGAAATTGTTTCATTTGCTCTGGTCTTAGTATATTCTGTGCTCTTTTCGCCTTCGCTGCTATTTAAAAAAAAAGTTTATGGCCTATCTAAAGTGGGTTGAATGTACTTGAGTGTAGAGGTAAGGACAGACTACATTATGATTCCAAGGTCCCTTTCAACCGTAAGAACCGATATAGCCTACGATAATTTATTTCCAAATGAAATTGTTTTTAATTGATTCAGATTATGTTTAGGTTATATTTAAAGGCTATCAACCATCTTCAACTCTGCTATAAAAAGATTGCCTTAGAAACATCAACTGGGTAAAAGTCCTGGTAGAGGATTATAAATTAGCTAGAAATGGGGACAAAGTAGATCTTAATGGTTTTCAAGGATCCAAAGATATAAACATGGTCTTTCCTCATGTGTTTTAAACTCTTGTCTTGAAAACTAATCCTACCACTTTGCAGACCCTTTCCATTTTTTTTTTTTTTGAGGTCCAATTTTGAGGCTCTCTACAATGTAAGAGTATACTGATTTCTCCACAAGCCTAACATTTCACTATCTCCAAATATCAAACACATCTTCTTGACTTTGGAATTATATTCCTTGGAAATCCTTATTGACCCTAATAACCAATAAAAACAAATATCTACCATGTGAAGCCTCTGTGAGACTTTCTTACCATAAGTTGCAACTCTAGCAGGAGTGATGAAGTGGAGTCTATAAAGCATGCACAGTTACCTGTTGTACCTGTAACACCCAGATTGTACCAAATGACCAATCAATGTGCAGTGGCTTTGAGCCACCTTAGCTAAATAAAGGTCCCAACACAATAGTGTATACTCTGCCGTTCATAAGTTAAAATATTCTATACTGTGTAATTAATATTTTACTATTCTGATACACTTGAACTAAATTATTTGTACTTTTGGGTAAGATATGGTAATAAATATTTGCCTAATCTGTAGTAATCAGTTTGCATAGTCCTATATTCATTCTTAAAGATAACGGAAGCCTGTTTCAGAATTTAATTTATGTTCACAAAAGAATTTAATGCCCACTGTACAGAGGTAATTAAAAAGTATTAGTATATGCCAGATTGGGAAAACTCAGAAATTTCATTGAAAGAACATTTGAAAAGTTTATTTCAACCCCATTTACAATATAATTATTTTTAAAATATATAGAATTACTTTTTATTAAACAAACGTAAAGCCATGCCTGAAGTTGAATCCTGGATCCTTTTCCTTAGCAGTGTGTGACCTTAACCTCTCTGCCTTGGTTTCCCCATTTATAATACAGAAATATTGATGGCACCTACCACATAATTTATTTAATCCTCACAACAACCTGAATATTTAAAGTCTTAGAAAAGTTCCTGACAGATAAGTGCTCCATAAATGTTGGCAATTATAGTTCCTGATCTTTCACTAAAAGTCACATATTTCAGACAGTATCGCTTAATTTTTCTAGGTTTCATTATTCATATGTCAAAGGAGAAAAATGACACCCTACCATAGAATTGTTATGAAGTTTAATGTACTAATCTGTATGAAAGTTCTAGTTAACCCTCATTAAAACTATTACATTTCCTCTCATTCTAGCTATGCGATTAAACATCTTTGAGATATTATGCAAAATTCTAACCTTACCCATCTTTTTATCATTGTAATTACACTAGCTTTATATTCCTATATCTAAGTGCCGTGAGCTTAGGAAAGCCAAACTTCTAAAAAAAATATATATATATATATTAAACCTATGAAATTGTAGAATCCTGTGGGCAACCTCAGCTGGTTTAAAAACAAACATTCTTTCCTTAGTCATAGAATATTTAAATCACAGGACAGTTCACTGCGACAGTTTCATAAGGACATATGACTCATCTTGCCTGCAGCACTTGTGCATTATGGAGCGTATTCATTCCCCACCAGAACAGACACTGGGAGCCAAACTGTTCACAGTACCATTTGGAGAATGCTCAGCACTGTGCTGAACACTTAATATATTCATATTGCTTTCCATCCTCATAGCAACCCTGTGAAATAGATTTATAAAATTTTACACATGAATTGAACATAGAGCTTGCCCAACACCCTCTAGGTAATAGGTGGCAAAAGCAGATTTTAAAGCTACCGTGTTTCCCCAAAAATAAGACATCCTCCGAAAATAAGACCTATCGCATGGAAAGATAAGACATCCCCTGAAAATAAGACCTAGCACAACTTTGGGAGAAAAAATTAATGTAAGACACTGTCTTATTTTCGGGGAAACAGGGTACATATGTCTGATCTTACAGTACTGTGCTCTCCAGAACCCAAGAGGCTACAGTGACAAGGGTATCTCAGGGCAAGCAATTGGGGCTCTGAGCCCAGAATCCTCACCTCAACCACATTAGCTCTACTTCTTTCTGTTTTACATATTAGGCTTTTTTATTTACATTAATGGGACGGCCATGCCATTACAAAAGGGGAGGGGTGTTGAAATGCATTTGCAAAAGTCACTGTACATTTACAGTACAGCTACAACAAGTGTTCCCACGTACAGTCTCCACCTAGGACAAAGAGAATCTGTATTTGACTCTAAGGAATTTTGCAGGTTGTTAGTAAATTTGCTAACACTTACTCTAAAAAGACGTATTTTTTTCTTCTTGTTAACTGGGTATCAACCATATGAGTTGACTGTTGGAGTGTGAGGGTAAAGTTTTGTTTAGGATTTCTCAAATATTAGAGAAATGCTTACAGTTGAAATGATAGAGTAATAATTAGATTCATTGGCACTTTTTGTAAAAGTCATTTTTATGTAGACTGCTTATTTAAAAAAACAAAACAAAAAAAACACCTTAAAATAATTTAACAGAAAAGTGTAGTAGTTGTTCTCTCAACAGTTAAGAATGTACTTTTCTTTTTAAAATGTTCCAGGGAGATGAAGAAGCAAGCCTTGGTTTGCCCATCAGTCCCTTTATGGATCGTTCTTCTCCTCAACTAGCCAAGCTCCAGGAGTCCTTCATCACCCACATCGTGGGTCCGCTGTGTAACTCCTACGATGCTGCCGGTTTGCTCCCGGGCCAGTGGATGGAAGCAGAAGAGGAGGATGAGACTGAAAGTTGTTCTGATGAGGATGGTGAAGAATTAGATACCGATGATGAAGAAATAGGAGACAATCTGAATCTTAGTAAGAACATAGGGATACTGTTTACTCAATGTTCTTAATGGAAATATCCATTTAATTTGGATTTGGATCTTTGTTTTAAAAGATTCAGTAGCCTTATCCTGGATAACTATGATATATGTGTTCAGGTTGTGAGTTCCTGCTGTGGGCTGGGTACCCATTGCTAATGCTGTCACAGAGACAAGCATCTCTTGAGGCGTTATCCTCTGGCCAGTGCTCCTCAGCAGGCTGTGCCTGTGCATGCATGACTGTCACCGTATCTGGACAGATGGGAGGAGGTGGGTGGGTCCTACTGCCTAGTCCTCCGTTACCACACCCCACCCTTCCTGGCCTGTTATTCTGCCCTTCATATAGACTTTATAAATGGATCAAAACAGCTGGGAAAACTCCTTGGCCGGTTTGGCTCAGTGGATAGAGCAACAGCCTGCAGACTGAAGGGTCTGCATTCGATTCTGGTCAAGGTACATGCCCAAAAGGGGCTCAGCAGGGGACAGCCAATTAATGATTCTCTCTCATCATGGACATTTCTCTCTCTCCTCCTTTCCTCTCTGAAATCGAGATATATAGCAGTTAGCCCTCTCCCTTCCTCTCTGAAATCAATAAAAATATATTTTTTAAAGCAGTTGGGCAAACTGACTTACGAGGAGAACCAAGTTTTGTGGCATTACAGATCTTAATTTTAAAAGTGTAGGGACACCATTTTCTATATACAGCAGAGTATAGATAAAAAATGAAAAACATTTGTTATCTTTGTATCTGTAAATGAAGTCAGTTATTTGCTCTTTAAAATAGAATTAAATATCTAATTACTTTGTTTTCCAAGCATGCTGTAAACAGAACAGATAACTACAAAGAATCCCATCCACCATCACCCCAAAGTTGCCTTAGTATTAGCACAGTGACGAGTAATCTTATAACATTGCCATCTAAGTATCATCTTGGGTAGTTGCTGGCTTCTGAAAGTCTATACCACATGTGTCAAACACAAGGCCCGCGGGCCAAATCCGTCCCCCCAGGCCTTGCAATGTGGCCCGCACCGCGCTGTCATCACTGCACTCTGCTGCGTTTCCATCACAATGACAGTTTATGACTGTTCAGTAAACCATTCGGCCTGCAATTTAGGCTGGATTTTAGATTTTGGCCCCTTCTCTGATTGAGTTCGACACCCCTAGTCTATACTCACCCCAATTTTGTTAATCCTCACCACAGGATATGTTTTCTTTTTTTTTTCTTTTTTTAATTTTTTTGATTAAATTATTATCTTTGTACATATACCATTGTCCTCTCCCCCCCCCCCACCCACCCCCCATAGGATATGTTTTCATTGATTTTTAGAGAAAGGAAAGGAGAGGGAGAAACACTGATTGGTTGCCTCCCGTACACATCCCTATTGGGGATCAAACCCACAATTTAAGTATGTGTCCCCTGACCAGGAAACAAACTTGCAACCTTTTTGGGGGAAGGGAAGGAGGAGGTGCACAGGACAATGCCAACCAACTGAGCCACCTGGCCAGGGCTACTCACCAAAATTTTGATGTGTTTAATACATTAAAAAATCCTTAAAATGTTGGTTTTATCATTTGATATTTCAGTGCCATTTCCCTCCAACACACACACACACACACACACACACACACACACACAAACTTCTTTAATCTCATTTTCTGCTTTATTTATAAAACTATTGTTACATTTTTAAAATTGATTTTTAGAGAGAGAGGGAGAGGGAGATAGAAACATTGATGGGAGAGAAAGCATGGATTGGCAGCTTCCTGCACGCCCCCTACTGGGGGGATCAAGCCACAACCTGGGCATGTGCCCTGACTGGGAATCAAACCAGTAACCTCTTGGTTCAATCTTATTGTGTATTACTATAACACCAGTGCTTATATAGGCACTTAGGTATTTATTGACAGAATGGCTGAAGCATATTGCTATGACTAGAATATCTCTACTTTTTAATTTCACAGAACCACAGGGAAGAAAGGGCAGACGGCAAATATTTTGTCAGCTAATGCATCACCTCACTGAAAACCACAAGATATGGAAGGAGATGATAGAGGAAGAAGAGAAATGTAAAGCTGATGGGAACAAGCTGCAGGTGGAGAATTCTTCCTTACCTCAAGCAGATGAGATTCAGGTGATCGAAGAAGCAGACGAAGAGGGAGATGCAGTCTGAGTGAAACAAAGACGTAATGAAGAGTCCCAAGGGCTGCGCCCGAGGGTTGGAAATCAATGCCTCGAGTTCACTGTGCTGACTTTGGACTGACCGTTCCCACGTGGACGGCCCGTCTTACTGTGAGGGGACCCTGCGGTGCCTGCAGTGTCCCGCTCTTACGCACTTTCACCCCAAACTAGGAAGCTGTCCCTAGAGCTTGGCTTCACCCTACTCATGCCTAAAGCCTTTACTTAATGCCTCACCGGTGTAGGAATACTTTGTCACAATACTGCTCTGTGGGTGGAAAGCACTAACTATTCATGAGGGAGATCTAGAACTAAAAGTTCAAGTAACTTTTACTGCAGTTTCCAAAGTGGCCAGAACGTCTTGCTTTCATTGAAAGTCCAATTCACATTGTATTTTCAGACGTGTCCTTTATGTATTTGAATGTTTTTTGGGGGGGAAAGTCTGTGCCTATTTAAAAAGGAATCCAGTGTCTCCTTTCCAAGGGATCTGTTCAGTGCCATATGCTGTTGAGTGCTATTTACCCAGCGAGACTTACCCACGGAGGACCAAGGGACCTTTGTTATATTTAACAAAATTCACACGCATCAATTTCTGATGCTTTTTACTGTTGTGTATTATTTACTGTGTGTGTTTTATTTCTGTTCTTAGTGTTCAGATTTGGCGTAGAAATCAGAAGTCTGAATTCTAGCCTTTTTGACTTTATATTCCATGGTCAAATTTTGTTTAGGTTTAACAATGAAGGGATTTTATTCTTTAGTCAAAACTGTTCTCATTTTACTCTTGCTCAGGATTAGAATTTTTAAACATTCAATTACTATAACCCCAACACATATTTTCAAAAGAAAAAAAAAAAACTTTTTCCTAGTATCGATACTAACCTTTTACGAAAGGGAGCATTATTTTCTCTTGTCGTAGGAAAAAATGAGACTAATTAGAACCACAGAAAAGATGTGTCTTTTGCCTTAATGTAAACAAAAATAAAATGAGACTATCTTGTCAAAGATAAAGAACAAAAGAAATAGTGTGAGCTCTGGAAGACACATACATTGCATAAGTAATTGGGATATGTACTTATTTTTATATCTTAGGTGCCATGTGTTTAGTTACTGTAAAACTAATGTTCATCTTTCTATTAATTTCTGTTTGCCTCAAGATTACACGAGAGAAATGACTTATGACTACTCAAAACTTCTAGAGCCCAATGCAAGTTGAATTTCTGATATGAAGTAAATGCTAAGAATACTTATGTGATTTTTATATAACAGATCTAAATATTTTAGTAAATCATTTCATGCAAAAGCATACTGCACATTATTAAGATAACTGCAAAGAAAATGGAACATATTTACAATGTTTATAAGCTTGTTAGTTTCTGTTAGGGTCCAGACTTGTACCCTAGCTGTAAAAGTTTTAAAGATATAAAGAGCAGAATAACATGGTAGACTAATATTTCTTATTATTCATGGAGACCATATTATATTTTGGATCGGTTTAGCTTTTGTAGGCATTAAAATCATTAATTTTCCAAGGTAATTCCTTTTAAAAAATGATGTCAGCAGGCAATTTCTTGGTTTTGTTGGTTTTGTAATTGTTGGTTTACCTGAAAGATACCAATTTAAAATCTATGGAACTGTTGGATGTTTTGATCCTGTAGAATATAATTTTTAATGAATCACTAAGCTTTATTTATTAGACATGGTGAGTGCGGAGTGTCTCCTGCCACTTTTGCTTACCATCGCCACCTCATCTGTAAACTGGTCCCACATTCCTAAGTAATAAAATTTAACTAATTTATTGAGTTTGCACTTGTAATATATATATATGTCTTGTGCTTTTCTTTCTCCAGAGTGCATTTTGCATCTCCATATCCCTGCTATTGCAAAGTACATATATTTGTGTAAATTCACATGCAGCATGTATGCATAATGAGACAATCAAATTTCCTTACTTTCTATTTTATTAAAATTTTATATTGGGTTTAGTGTATATTTGTGTTTTCTTAAAAGAAGCATGTTTTTCTATTAAAATACTATGAATTTGATATTCTTTTAACTGCTCGTAGAAATAATCTTGCAGTACTATACTATATGGGCTTACTAACACATTTTTTTTTCATAAAAAAAAAAAAAAAGCCTATCTTTTAATTTCATGATTTCCTGCTAGTCTCACTTATTTTGCTGGTGCTATTCACTTTTCCTACCGATTTTTACAAGAATCCTGGAAATTCTGGCTATTGCATAGATAGTCAGAAATTTCCTCTCTCTAGATTGCATCATCTCTTGGAAGCAAACTTTACAGAAGAGATGAATGTCTTTATTACAGCTGCCAGGCCAATGTGAGCAGATCTAGAGGATGTATGTGGAAAACAATGAACAGTTTCCCAGAGGCAAGTGGCTTTTATGCCGAGTACTGAAGAGTTATGAGTTAGCGTGTAGCTGATAGCTGTGGTGAGAGAGCAACAGCATGAATAGAGGCCAGAAGAGAGAGCACCTCCACATTGGAGGAGCCAAAAGAGATTTACTTAAGGTGGCCGGAACTTAGAATGCAAGAGAGGGAGTGGTAGAGAGAGGGTGGTGAATCAAGGGCCTTATAAGCATGGCATGTCGTTAACCTAAGCAAAAGGGGAAACCATTGAGTTTTAACTGGGAAGAGCCACATTTTATGAGGCTCACTCAACAAACTGTTGAATGGAAGAGTAAGATTAGACATGGTGAGATCCCTGATCTAGACTCAGGACTACATTGAAGTTTGTTAACCACAGGTGGAGTAGCAAGGTTCTAAAAAAAAAAATACTTCAAGAGGAAAAATGACCCCAGATGGGGAGATATGAGATGCATGATGGAAAAGTAAAAGCAAAGAATAAAAAACTTCTTTAAGTAAAGCTATAAACATGTATATGAAATAAAAATATTTTGTGGGACTTAGAGGAAAAAAAAAAAAAAAGAAAAAGTAAAGTTGCTTAAGGATCTTACATAGTTTAGGAAACAGATTAAGATATTCACTGTTAAATATATACTAGTGACTGGTACACGGATTCATGCACATTGAAAAGAAATTATAATAAATATTTTAATATCGCTATCTGCCCTTTCTCATGTATATGAAAATATATAAATTGATTAATAAATGATAACAAAGACATGATATAAAAAGAACAAAAACATGATATATCTTTCATTGATGTTTCTATTCCTCTCCTCTGTAAAAAAAAAATCAATAAATTATATAAAAAGATAAAAACTGATAAATTGATTAAACTTAATCTAACATTGAGGCCAGTGTCAGATGGGGACAAATCAATTCCTGGAATCAGAACAACCTCTCCTCTGCAGATCCTTTTAATACTTAAGCTTTGATTATAGTAGGTCGCAATCTTTTGATAATATATTATAGTACCATTACCCCATTTACTATTAAGATTTCTCAATGGCATGATAATCGTACCTTCTATCAATTCTTATTTATGACACAGCACCAGGATTGGGCCTAAACGGGCAGTCGGACATCCCTTGAAGGGTCCCAGATGGAGAGAATGCAGGCTGGGCTGAGGGACACCCACCAATCCCTGCCCTATGCACAAATTTCATGTACCAGGCCTCTAGTCAAGTATATAACTTCTAAAGTATAAACCAGTAATGGGATAACAACGAACTACTCAATAAAGATGCAATAATAGAAAAACAAACAAACAAAAAAAAAAACCCAGACAAATAGAGGGGGGGGGGGGGGGGGGGGGACACACAAAGTAGAAACAAATTGTAAAATATTGAAACCCACAAGAAATGTAATACTTGCCAGTTCAGTAATAATGACTATCACCAAAACTGGTTTGGCTCAGTGGATAGAGCGTGGGCCTGAAGACTGAAGGGTCCCGGGTTTGATTCCAGTCAAGAGCATATATCTTGGTTGCGGGCACATCCCAAGTAAGAGGGAGAGGGGGGGGGAGAGTTCTGGTCAATGTTTCTCTCTCATCCATGTTTCTGACTCTCTCCCTTCCTCTGTAAAAAATCAATTAAAATACTTTTAAGAAGAAAAGTAAAAATAAAAAAATAATAATAATGACTATCATGGGAGGGGGCCCCCAATGGTAAGATATGTACACATATAATACCTTAATAAAAAAAAAAGTGAAAATAAAAAAATAATAATGACAGCCCAGCTGGCATGACTCAGTGGGTGAATATCAGCCTGTGAAACCAGGTCATCTCATGGCTTGATTCCTAGTCAGAGCACAGGCTTGGATTGGAGTCTCAATCCAGGGATCACGCAAAGGGCAGATGCCCGAGAACCAGGATTCGCTCCCGGGGCGGAGGGGTGTCTGGGCCCAGAGCCCCCTCCCCTGGCAGCGCGGCCATCACACAGGCTGGCCAAACCCATCGGCTGGCCCTTCTGAACGCGGAGCGCGCCAAGGGACGGCCCTCGCCCACCCGCAGGGAGGCGGCGGGCCTGCGGTCAGAAAAAGACCAGACCCGAGTGGATTCTCTCATGGGGACTCAGGGGGTCCCTCGGCCAGAGGCCCTCCGCCCAGGGAAGGTCCGCGGAACCCGGGAAACAAGTTCACCTTAGGAGGCCGGCCCGCCGCCACCGGCGGGGAGAACCTAGCTTTTTTCTCGGGGGGCACTTGCCCACGAGCCCGCCCGCGCCCCACGGTCCCCGGCGCCACGGCCGACCGGTTCTCCGCGCGCCCGCAGTACGAGCGGTTCTCCCGCGGCACCGCCAGGCCACGAAGGCGCTCCCACACCGGGTCCGCAACAGCGGCCACAGGAGGGAGACCGCTGCGGGGCGGAGAGAGACACCGAGGCAGGGCTCATGCAGACTCGGACCCATCGCGATCGCTCACGGCCAGGCCTCCCCCACTCGCAGGGTACGGGCCCGCGCAGGGTACGGGCCGGCGCGGGGGTACGAGCCCGCGCGGGTGTACGGGGAGGCGCGAGGATACGGGCCGGCGCGGGGGTACACGGAGGTACGGGCGGTGCAGGGTAGGGGGCGGTGTACCTCTCCAATCCGGTCAGATTCCCCGGCTCCTTCGTGCAGCGACCACAGCGGCTCCGGAACGGGAAACCACGCCATCAGCTCGGGGCGCCCCCCCACATACCCCCCCATCCCCCCACCCCCCGCGGCCAAGGCGAACACAGCGTCCGCCGCCCGGATGCCCAGGAGGGGCCGCTGCAGAGGGTCCGCAGCATCAGGACCGTGAGAACGAGGTCGGAATGGCTTCCGCCCCCCGCCCCCCTCCCGGCCGATCAGCGCCTTCGGACAGAGGGGAGCGGAGGGGGGCCGCGGGCAGAGCGAGAGGCAAGGTCCCCTTCGTCCCTCCCCAGCGGCTCAGGCCGGGCCCGGGAGAGCGTGACGTCACACGGACAGCAGGTGACGCGAACCACAGCCTGGGCGGCCAGAAGGGGAGAAGGCGAGAGGAGGCCGCCACCGGCCCGCACTGCGGCCTCGCCAGGGAACCCTCCTCTCGGGCCGAGCGGCGCGGCGCGCGACCCCAACACGCACAGCCGGCGCGCAGGCCCAGGGCAGTCAGGCTTCGGGTCGCGGCCGAAAAGCCCCCGGGAATTGTGTCCATTCACCCCATATCCACACGTACCTTGTGCTCAAAAATGCCAGCTCCAGACAAAACACGGTTGGTTCCCGGTGATGGAACATCTGTCAGATCCCAAGTGACCCACGATGACGCACGGCAGCGGGCGGGTTCCCTGCGCGGCCCAAGAGGCAAAATACGCGTCTCGCGCTGCTCCGCGGGGTCCCGGCTGCCCGCCCTGCGCCACGCAGATGCCTCCAGTCAGGGGCTGAGAAAAATTCCCTGAACGATTAAGGTGACCAGACGTCCCGCTTTTGGCGGCACAGTCCCGATTTTTAACTATTTGTCGCGCGACCCGCGGCGTTTTAAAAACGCCGAAACCGGTTTGGCTCAGCGGTAGATCGCCGGCCTGCGGACTGAAGGGTCCCAGGTTCGATTCTGGTCAAGGGCATGTACCTGGGTTGCGGGCACATCCCCAGTTAGGGGTGTGCAGGATGCAGCTGATCGATGTTTCTCTCTCATCGATGTTTCTAGCTCTCTCTCTCTCTCTTCCTCTCTGTAAAAAATCAATAAAATACATATATTTTTTAAAAAGTCCCGATTTTAAATCGGGCCGAGTGAGGAAGGTTTCCCCGCGGCCCAGTGATCCCCAATTTCAGCAGCTTTCCTCCAAGACCACCCTCCTGGTCCTGTGCGCCATTGGGGGTCCACCCACATTTTGCGTACACGCCCCCTCCACCCTGTCACCGCAGACTCTCTGTCTGTACCCCAAGGATCACACCCTGTCTGTACCCCAAAGACTGGTCTGTGCCAAGCGGGGATTTATTCGTTGGGGTGGGCCGTCGCGCTCGTGAAGAAAGGATTCTGTGGGCCGGACCGTCCCTGTGCTGACTGGCTCCTGGAGGGTAGACCCCACAAGCATTCCCAAGAGGAATCATCTTGCGTCTGGGACATACCTTTTTTCGTCTCATCCGATAATCCCTGCTGCGCGTTGGCCTTCCACCGCCTTCTCTCCGCGCATCGCTGCTCCCTACCCCGACCGCCGACAGCCGCGCTGAGCCCCGCCGCCGCGCCGCGCCGCACCGCGCGTGTGCCCTCACGCCCTCACTCTCAGATGCGGACCGGGTGGGGGTGCCAGGCTTTGCTGACCAGATAAGAGGGAGGGATCGGACACCGCCTAGTGGCCATGACCCATTCACAGGTCGGCCTCTTTCTATGGCAGTCCCTCCGCCTACCATGGTGACCACGGGATGGAGAATCAGGGTTTGTTTTTGGAGAAGGAGTTTGAGAAACGCCTACCACGCAAATTTCCCACCATCAACCGGGAGGTAATGACTAAAACTTGCAAGACCCTTTTATTGGAAGGAGTCCACTTTTTATTATTTTTTAAAATATATTTTTACTGATTTTTTACAGAGAGGAAGAGAGAGGGATAGAGAGTTAGAAACATCGATGAGAGA